TCCTGCCAGTCTTTAACAAGCACCTTACACTTGGAAGGTGCAAAGCACATACCATATCTGGATACTTCGATCGCCAAGCGGTTCAAAGCGTCTTGGACTGCCTGTTTGTTGCCATCCAGCAAGACGATGTCATCGACATATTCTGAATCAAGGACTCTGTTCCTTGGAAGGAGTTCGACCCCACCGTTTGTTGGACCGGACAAAGGATTCTGCAGAACATCATTCATGGCAAAGTTGAAAAGAAATGGGGATATGGGGCAGCCTTGCTGAACTCCACTGGAGACAGCGAAGGATGGCGAAAGTTGGCCATAGGCCCTAACCCGACCTGAGGTATGACGATACAACTCTTTGAGGATCGACATACTTCTCAGGTGCTCCATTCCTCAACAAACAGTTCCATAGTGCGGTCCTATCGATAGAGTCGAAGGCAGCGCGAATGTCCAAGAATACAATGATCGTTGGTCTTTGATAGGTTCGCTGATAAACTCCCAAACACAAAGGCTTGACTGCAGATCACTAACCCGTTCGATCCATCCCACGTGGGTTAAACTATGCAAACACCGATAATCGAAAACCTCTGGTCAATGTGTATATTCTACTTACAAATTCAAGATCTAATAGGCAAAAAGGAAAACTGAAAAAGTTCAGGAGACCACTTAGGGCATTCTCCAATAACCCGCCTACAAAGAAATTGAATTCGAATGACGAAAGTGAATGCGAATGAACAAATACCTTCGACAAACACCGATGCTGGTCACGAAAGGCTTAATTGGTTTGCTATAGACCCTCACTCGACCAGAGGTGTGAGATGTGAGTACAGTGACCTCAGTAAGTTAATGTACTTCCAGGGTATTTCTTTTAGAAGAAGGGAACCCATTAGAGTTTCGCGGTCGACTGAGTCGAAGGCTCCTTTCAGGTCGACGGTGGACGTGACGCAGCTCAAGGATCTGACGCAACGTAAAAATTTGATCAATAAATACATCCACGACCAGGTCTGAGTCCGGCTTGCTGTTCATGGATGTTGGTCTCTCTTGCAAGAGTAAAACATAGAAGTATAACGAAGGCTAGCGATTAGGTCACGATCGGTGATTTTCTGCCGTGATTTTCGCAGTCGTTACGATATCCATACTCAAAAACGAGAACGATCAGTGATTCCCTCAAAATGAAGGAATACGCTCTTGCGTCCAAATGCTGAGCATTAGGATAGTAATACAGTTTACCCGGTTGTTCTATCCATTTTGAAAAGATGGGGGTGAGCTGGATGTCGCAAACAGTGGCCCTCATGCATCCACACATTGATAGTAATGAAAGTAAAAAACTGAAATTGAAACGGCTGATTTTCCTCGTTTGAGAGCGTGAATGCAAGACCGAACGACACTGCCCACAGAGCTTCAGCTACAGATGGTTAACGCTAGGTCAGCTTAACTGTTCGCTGCAGTATTCCTTCCAGCGATTAAGTCGTTCATCCCTATTGTGAATAGCCTGTCCCCTCTTATCGAAGACTGTTTCACTAACTGGATTTCACCGACCTCCCGTATTGCTTATCAGTCGCAACAGCCTTTGACTGTTCCCTGATGCAGCTGCTACTTCCATTTCACTAGCTATCGTTACCTACCAGTTTTCACGATCTTTCTTGAGGCCCTATGTGAGATGACGTTGACTTTATTTTGATCCTGGCAGGTCGGGACTTGCCAATTTTGCTCCATCAGGGCTACTGACTCCTGAGATATCCAATGCGTCCGACGGGTTTGAGGCTCAGACCCACAAGCAACATTCGCTGCGGAATACATTGCTCGCCTAATCTGATCCCACTGCTTGTCTACATCACCACGCTGAGGCGCACTTAACTTGCCCATTAGCTCTGACTACTAGAGTGTATGAACTGCTGTAACAGATAGTCGTTGATGAGCTATCGGAGTTTGCTGGTTTTGTCGCCGACCGGTCAGTCGGAGAGTGAAGTGTATCAAATCTAATGCGTGGTCAGACTCAACGCAGGTGGTCCAATGGAACCTGCAATTATGCACTGAGCCACGTCAATTGTAACCTGCTGCTATGTGGTCGATTTGAGTTAATGTACCTGTAGAACCGCAGTGCAAAGTTGCCTCCGTCGGAATTTGATCCTCACAGAAATGAAGTAGTTGACCATTATCTGTTCGCTGGCAGGGCAGAGCACAACTACCCTCTAGGCAAGCTTCCGATGCGCTCAGTCTTCCAACTGCAAGAACAACTATATGGGAGCTTCGGTTCAACGGAATGAGTTCAGTGAGTTCATCCTAAAATTCGTCCTTGTGTGCATCAGAATTGCAGTTAGTCGAACCATACGCTCAAATGGCGAACGAACACCTTTTGGTGTTGCTGATATCATGTTGGCAGGAGATCGCCTACTTCAACTCTGCATGGACCACGGATTGATCCTGATTGATTCTCGCACAGGAAACGCCATCGACTTACATGGAAACCGCCAACATCTTCACTGCGCTGGATCCAAATCGACCACATCACCATCAGTTACCGCTGGAGGGGATCAATTCAAGACTGCAGCTCTTACCGGTCAGCAACTGTGAAAACAGAACACGCCATGTTACGAGCCAAGTTCTCCTTACGCCTGGCAAACAACGGAAAAAAACCCACCGACAACGGATATCCGCGATACAGTGTCAGCGATTCATGCAAATCCGCCTTGAAAGTGGAGCTCTCCGACCGCCTGTCAGTTCAACCGACAGCCAAAACACTCAATGAACACTAGAAGCAAATCATGGAAGCTATGCAGATATCGATAAAAAACAACGTCGTTAGTCTTAGAGTTGACAAAACTTCTGGGTTCAATATGGGAAAAGGAAGAGGTTCCAGCTGAATGGTGTGAGTCGGTGATCATACCGATTTACAAGAAAGGTGATAGATCCTCTTG